AAACTTTAATCGCAAATATCTCAAAAACTATTCAGTAGTTGCCGCTATAATGATATATTTTCTTAATCTGCATAACGATATCTACAAATCTACAAAGTCTCAACTAAATCGCTAACCCGAAAGAGATGCACTCTCCTCGTAAGATTGATGCTTAGGATTATTTTCACAAAAGGATTAATTTGATCCGCGAAAGGACAATTTAATTCTGCAGAAATGATGGTTAAGTAGGAACCTGTAAGAAAATACAGGATTATAGGAATATGTGATCAATTAGTACTAACTTCGCCATCTAGCAAGAATCGGTGGCACTTCGTGCGAATATTCGTAAATAATTATCACGTGGTATTGTTTCGTTCGAATTAGTCTCACTTGAGCAACTCGACTGTAAATAGGTATAATCAAGATGGCTGTGTAACGTATATTATACATAAAGGTGCTTGTTAAAGGATAAAACTGCGATAAAGTTTATGTGCTATAAAATATTCCACGATCGAGAAGGTATCCGAATTTCTCGCGTGATGCTAAAAGATCGATCTGTAGAATTCGCGTACCTTTGGCCCATTTTTACGTGCCCCTTGCCAGTGTTCTCTACGTGGTCGAAGGTTTGGAAACATAAAATCTCGTTGTCGAAGCGAACAAGAGCGGCGCGGGCGGGTAGTAATTTTCTGCAGCTGGAATAGCTTCGAGTTTCCAGTGTAAAGTCCGATTAAAGGGGGTTGGAGGTTAAAGGGGGCCACAGGTATTTTTTCACGGAACTGGTATTTACGAGCGCGAATCCTCCACGCAATTTCCGATCTCTATACACGGTTGCTTTCCTGCAGGTTGAACGATGGGAAGTTTTAAAAGTTCTTCGATGCACCAGGGCCACGATGAAGCTACGCAAATGAATGACGTATTCCGAATAGATTTTCTCGTAGTCGGAAAGTTTCTTAAGCAAAGACACGCTGTTAGCCGTGTATTTTCGTTTTATCGTATTTTTGCCTCCTTTACCTTTTTCTTTGGTTCTATCTTATATTTTCTTTATAGAATGGTTGCCAGGAAGTTGAAGAGTTTTGCTGAAATCGGGCTATCGCTAGTCAGGAGCAAGCCAAGGGACTGTATTCGTAAATTGAATTCGCAGAAACGGTTCGTTTAGCTGACATTACCGACCGATTAACTTGGCCACGTTCATGGGTTTGTCACGCGTCACGTTGGCAGGCGGTTTTATTGTCCTGTTTCTGTAGGAACGTCGCGGTTTGCAGTACTGCGTAGAAATTAGATGGCTGACTGGACGTGATGGATTGATAGAACTTGACATAAGGAAAACAAGATGTTCTGATAGTCCAGATAGCTGTTAATTGCTATCGTATTTTTTAAAATGGACGAATATAATTGTAATAATTCTGGTATCCAACTTGGTAATGTATTATTAGAATTGTATCATTATTGTACTGAATTTAAGTTAGAAATTGAACGTGCAATAAGAATGGGCTGTAAAATATAATTTCTTTAGAAATGAAGAAATAATATTTCATTTTGTAGCTTGAAGTATGTAGTCAAAGATAGTCAATTTTTTAATGTACTATTAGAATTATAGTATTTTTGTAATGACCTTAGAAATTATTTTAAAATTGAGTGGGTAACATTGAGATTTACTATTAATTGGTATGATTTATTGGTATTGTGTTGTATTTCAATGAAGTTAGATTTATTATAAAAATAATAGCAGTTTAAAAACTATTTCAAAAAATTAGTCTGTGGGTTATTCATTTAATTCTTATACGTTCATCATAATATTAAACTTGATGTTACAAATTATACATCATATAATGATATTTTTAACCAGTTATACAAATTTTTGTTTTTTATTTTCAGGATTGTTGTCAGTGAGGATGCTTGTACCAATCTATGAAAAATTAGATTAATTTTCCTACAATAACAAAGCGTAATAATATTTTAACAAAATAACAAAATGAAGAATATTTTAACAAGTTAACAAACAATTCGTATTTCTTATGTTTAAGATGATGCCCATTCAGATCTACAGTCTTTGCACTAACCATCTTCTCATCTCTGCAGCGAATATTTTACGTATATCGTATCATACTTCCATATACAAATCTGTCATTTTTGGATTTATGGTGTCTGAGTTAATCCTAGGAGTTGGAAGCTTCACCCTCCTTTGAGCGCCAGCATTATCACCTCTTCTTCTCACAATGTTCGTTGCTCTTATTGACGAGAAGATCAATAAAACCCTAAGAAGCTTCAGTCCACACAGAAAAACGTAGAATACTGAGCATCACCTTGGGGGTTTGGTGCATCGATCTACTTCGCCAAGTAAGTAATTTAGGTCTTCGCAATTTTATGAACGATATTACACTAACGACCAGAATCACGGCTAATTCAAGTAACATATACTCCTAAGCAAAACTAAAGAATTTGCAAGATAATCTCTATTTAGAAGTTGAAACTGCATCAAATAAAAAAAAGAATTAAGGGATCAAGGAATTTTGGTCGAGAAATTGTCAGTCTTTGAACTCGCGTTACTTCGTGAAGAAATATTGTACAACAGTCAGCGTGGGCTCATTTTGAAGCTTGAAGCTTGGACTTTGACGCACGTAAACAGGCATCTTTCAAAGATTTTTTTATACAAAAGAATAAAGCAAAAAATGAAGATAGCCTTTCATGTAAAAGGTTTGATAAGTTTAAACCGCTCTGTGGACTTTAAGAATTTCTTTTTTTAATTTGTCTTACGATACACGTGTAGAGGTTTCCTCTGTACAATAATAACCACCTAAAAGTTGGCATACGATTTTTTGTTATCGAGTTATCACATTTTAAGTGAGGAATGTTATATTAACATTCCAGTAACGTCGGACTTGTGCATACGTGTATGTATTAGTGTATGTTTCATATGTATTTAATGGAGTAATGTAGTGTTGTATGATGTTTCTCTACGAAGTAACAGCACTTTAAAATTGTCTATTTTCAACCAAAATTAGTTATTCCCTTAATTTTGCTCACGAGTGTACTTGGACCATAAGCCAAATAATACTGAGCAACTCTGGTCTATAAACCACGGGTTCATAAACCAAATAATTCTGAGAAATACTCAGAAACACAGATGGTAATACGAATACAGGATGGGTCCAAGCGGATCTAATCACCAACTCCTTTATGATCTCTGAACTATTCACTGTCCAACGACTATGATACCAGCAGTATATACTCAAGAATACGAATCGTCAACCCAACCGACATGACATATCATTAGATATCACCTGTACCAATGACAAATTCACGTAGGATTTACTTTCGGACCCAACCATCTCTCTGCCTATACCCAGTCAGGTAAACGCGTAATTAAATAGCAGCATGAATATTAATCCCCGAGGTAGGTGTGTTCGACTCTGTAACTGCTAGGCCGTCCCCTGTTTTGTAATTCAGATAACGCCACTTTTTCCTGGGACAAGTCGAATTGTTCCGCGAAACGAAAGGGAGAACGCGTTGCCTTGTTAAGTGAAAGAAAACCGCGTTGACCAGAAATACAAACGATCCTCTACGCCGTCATAGATCCCGCGATCTAGCAGATTTTACGGTCGTAGGACGCGACGATCCTCATCCGGTTTACCTTCGACCATTTTATACTTCGATGGCATTGTCCTCTCGTCTAAAATTTAACCCAATTTAAGTTTCGTGTTCCCAGCCAATCACTGCTGTTGACTTAACAATAAACCATTCTGCGCGTCCGGAGAACTAGATGTAACCGCAGATCGAGTTTCCGAGAGAAGTGCTGCAATGCGGTCTCCCCTGCTGTTCCTTTGCGTACATTTCATCGCGATTGGAAGGAAATCTGCGAGTTCATTGTTTCGCGGATGTCCTTCGATACGAACGGATCCCTAGCGGGTCTGTATACAGAGTGTCCCGAAAATCGTGACACAGCAGGCCGAGTAATGATTTTACATGAAAAAATAAGTCGAAAAGAAAGAATAACATTTTCTCATTTACGGCTTCGTTTTCGAGAAAAGTGAGGTTGAAGATATGTTCGGTGCTCGTGCAGTACACTGGGTATACTACATGTGAATTTACACTTACTGCAGTTGTTGAGTTACTTTTGCACGTGGAATCATTATTCTATTGGACGAATACGATTTTCGAGACACCCTGTATGTACCAGGCTACTGTACGTAAGCATTTGGACACCCGATATTATTTAATCGAAAGATTTATGATTTTATCAAAATCGTAATGTTTTTATTTATAATTAACATTTTATCGATAAATGAGTTCAAATCAAAATCAATTTTTGTGGTTAGAAAATTTTTCGTATTTCAATACGAGATGAGAGCATCGAAATAAAGTTAAGAAAATGGTTAATGAGATCTATTGATTCTGTGTTTATCAATTTTATATTTCTTTCCGAAGTTTTAAATCAGGAGAAAAGTATAAAGTTTCGAATTATGGAAATTCAGAACTGCCTTTGGGTTTCAAAGACTTCAAAGCTTTGACGTGTCGAGAAACCCATTACTAGTTCAAATACCTATACAAGATAGTGTATATTTGATACATAGTAATACAACAGTAATTATATAATAATAATTATAATATATAAAAATATCATATATGATAATATATATATTTTTTTAGAAATTCAGAGGTATAGATAAACGAAACACGAGAATTTGCACGGTCTAGAAAAATGCTTTGTTCAAGCCGATAAAGCTAACGAGAACACAGTGTTCATTCCCTCCCATGCGATAACATTGATGCGGCATACGATTAGTATCTCTTCTCTTATTCGAAACGCGTTGAATTTTCTACCTCGCCGAGGCGTGCATAGGGAACTTCAAAGAGAACGCGGACTTTGACTATAGCTTCCTATGTATTGTGTATTTACGCGATCGTACCACAACTTCGCGTTCCCGTGCACTCTTTGTCACTAGCAAAGAGGGCGCAAGATGTCAGTATCTCTCGCGAAGCACTGTTAGTAGACTGTTCCTGTTTCTCGGTCATCCACTTACCAAAGACTGTTTCTTCGTTCCAAAAGGAATCATCTAAAGTGTAGTCGGCTTCTGCAACAAGAAAAAAACAAAAACCCGATTAGTGTACGCGAATATAACGATATAATGTTGGTGGAGTGTCGTGGCATACGTGCAAAAGCGTTTGAGGTTAGAGTGTAAAATTGGCGGGACGAGGGGAACTCGATAGTCGAAAATTTGCAAGTTTTCGAGGTGAATTCCTATGGGAAGTACTGGCACAGCAAGGGAACCACGTTGTACCTTGGAAGGAATTTTGGGCCGGGTTGCTTGAGGATTTTCCACGAGGGAGGAAAGTTGGTCGAAAGTTTCGAGATTGCATGTACACGGTGAGGAACGTTGTTTAGAAAAGATTGCGAGACTGTCGAAACACATGTTATCGAACAATTCTCAAATTCTTTGATTAGAACATTTTTAATATTAAATAGCTTTTGTTCGTTGTAGCTAAAATTATTCGATAGAAAAAGGGATAAAATTTACATGGTATACGGTTATGTCGATAATATCGATATTCAGGTTTATCGATAATTTCATTAAGAGATCGATATATTTAAGAAACGATGTAACGAGTAGAGTTCGATTTAGTTGTATGGTGGACTAAGTAAGGTCCAATACATATTTTGAAACTTGATATTATAATTATTAAGTGTTTGTCAGTAGTGGTAATCGTGTGTTAAATGAAAAATTATTTTTGAAAACAGGACAACGTTTGTCGAAGGAACGAACTTGATATCAATCAAGTTCGTCAATATAAAATATAAATAATATCCTATTCATACCAAATTCTAATCAAGATAAATTGATTTTGAGTTTATCATTTATAGAATTTGTTTCAATTAATACATTAGGTTCATTTTCGATCACTTTTATTTTTGCTCTATCGATATCTTACCGATATTATCGACACATCGTCAACCCTGGTTAACGATATGCGATTTGTTAGTTACATTCTCATAGGGCTATACTAAACAACTGTTACTATTACACTAGTGTTACACAAAACAAATCTATTTCTTTAGCAGCAATTGTTATTACTAAAATTTCCAATTGAAATAAGAAACTCGAGGCAATTGCAAGTTTCTTTTGTCATAAGGAAGCAAAACTCTGATTATAGATAATTATGTATCGATAACTTATCGATAATCAATAATCGCATCTCTAATTTATCGACGAGTTTAACAGTTTGTTAAATTATCGAGAAAAGGAGAAAGGGAAATAGGATAACAACTGTACCAAAACCGCGAATGATTTATCGGGAAACTTTTTGATCATCTTATCCAAGAAGGTGATACAAAGCGCAACTTCGATACGGTATTATGGAGCCTTTAATACGTATTTCCAATCGACTTATATAAACATATCGATTTGAGCATCCCTCGTATACCGTATATAACTTTCACGTATACCAAGCAAGCAGATTTTTCACACCTCTGTTCCACATCTGTCACTGTACGCGAAATCAATCGACGAATTTTTATTCGTCAATGAAAGGTGGATGTTCTAAGACCTAAATCCCGACAGGATTGCGAGACGATGCTGATCGCAGCATCGCAAACCATTCCAGGAGCACCATTTTCCAAGTTGGTTCCCTCCTCTCATAAACCGTCACGTTTTGCTGCACCTAGCAATCAGTGACGGCCACGCTTCGTCGATTTTCTCTGTATAACCATTCACCACCTGCGCGTTTAGCACATTCGGCGAGTTGCTATGTCTGCGAAACGTCGCGACCCCTAGCGATAAACGAGCCGGTGAACCAGCTCGATGATAGATTCCTTTGCTTCCTACGTGTCACCGATAATCGACGCTATCTGTCGGCTCGTTTCACCAGACGACACTCGATTTTTGGACGGCCATTGCCGCTCTACCGACTATCGGTAACCATCGAACCCGCTGTCATCGTCGTTGAATGTCGTAAAGGAACGATGGGTTGGGTGGGGATGGAAAATGGAAGGGGTAGGGAGGAAGATAGGATGGAGGGTCTGTAGAGCGCGAAAGGCGCGGAGAAATCGCGGCTCGGTACACGTGTCTGTATCCAGTGGAAAAATATACGAGTCCGGATACAGCGATGAGGTGGCGGGGAGGGGGCGAGGGGACGAAACTTTTCTCCGAAGTTTCATTAAAGCCCGCGAAACTTTTTCATCTCCGTACCCATCCCGGGGTTTCATAAAATTCATAAAATGGACGGCGTGCAGATAAAAAGACTCGGTTTCCAGTGGCCTAGTTCCTCCGTAGTATACGAAAAATAACCCCGAGGCGAGGAGGGCCTCGAATAGATGATAGTCAATGACGGTATTTCTATAGGGGCTCGCCCGTGGGGAGACTTTCAGGTAGGCGCGCGGGCAGAGAAATTCTGCCGGGGGTAATCGACACGCTCGAAATTACTTCTGTTTCCTGTCTTCACCCTTCTTTAATAACTAATCGCCGAGTTATCGTACGTTCCCCTTCGCCAGACGCGCTCGCCTCGTTTGTCAGCGTTCGACGTCTTTCGTCACGGTCAATCATCGGCTGTCTTCGGCCATCTTCGGTTATTCTCGACACTAGCGCACAGATACGTTCGCCGTACGAAGACGATACTTCTTCGTTAAACCTGCACCGCTTGACTCTGTCGGTAAATTAAGTTTTAATCTCATCCGGCTACCAACAATGGGGTGTTAACGTGGACACGGTAGAATTACCTACCGATGTAATCGTGTTTCATCGTTGTTTCTACGGTACCTAAAATATCCTCGAGAGCGAACGTAAGCGCTCGTGAATATTTCTCATTTCGCTCCCGGGGAAGTCGCGCACAGTCGTTGATGCCCGACCATTGTCCGACTCGTTCCACTGACGATTTCGAACAGCAGTCGCGTTACGATTGTTCTATCTAAATCAGTTTCATTGACCGGGTCGGGCTTTTCTTAACGACGCTGGCAAACTTGCCGACTGTTGGAGCGAAAGCGTGCTTAGAGTGTATTATGTTGCCGAGTAACAGGGCTACGGCATAATGTTCGCACGGTGAAATTAAACGGTTCACAAACTTCTATAATCTGCCACGTAGACCAGCCGGGTGGCCGGGTGGCCGGGTTAATGGGGGAAAGGAGAAAGATTTACTGAAACTTTCGGTTCCTACCCCCGTGGAACCGGGAAAACTTTGCTTTTCCATGATGGTTCCTGTTCTTTCTCCCGTTTTTCTTTTTTTTTTCTTTTTCGCGGCAGGCGAAAATTTATTCGCCGCCCCCTTAAAAAACGAAACCCACGATACTTCACGACGAGTCTGCTAGTTATTTCCACGAAGGGGAGGAAATGGCTTTCTATGACAACTCTGGGTCTCTTATGGCTCCGACCATTTTTTTCCCTCCTTCGTAGGGAACCGAAATTTATTTGCAGCCCCCTCGAAAAACAAAGCTGATGATACTTCGCCACGGTTTTGCTTGGTCTTTTCACGAATGGGGGAGAAAATACATTTTTTATGTCAATTCTTGGTTTCTCACGATGCTTTTTACCTCTTTTTACAGGGGGTTGAAATTTAAGTACGACCACCCTGAGGTGTTGCTGTATTTTTTATAATGTGTTTTTCTATTGTTTTTGGAGAACAGGAGAAAACGAATTTTTTTTTCAGGGTCTTTGGATTTAAAAAATTTTCTGTTTCTTTTTTACGAAGGGTCAAAATTTCCCAATTTTCCCAAATTTCCCAAGGGTCAAATTGTTTGTTAGATAAAATTTTTTACGATAAGTGTATTGATTATTTACATAGAGTGAGAGAAAATAGCTCTACTAGTTTTTTTGTGCATCCATTTTTTCTTCTAGGTTATCATAATTTAATCTCGACCCCGACTGCTTTAGATAAAAGAAGTATGAAATTTTTTATGTGTCTGCTAATTGTTTCCGTGAAAGGGAAAGAATGGCATTGTTTTTATTACAGTTTCTGGCCTCTCACTGTTATACATAGTAACTTTTCTTTTTACTTTTCGAGGGAGGCTGAAATTTTATTGGATGCAGCACTTTATGTGTTTAATTATCTATGTGGAAAATAAAAAAGTAGCTTTTCTATGACGATTCCATATCTCTTGTATTTTTAAAAATTTTTCGTTTATTTTTAGTAAACTAAAATGTAAACTCTCATGAGTTCCATGTAATTGAAGAAAATACTTATTCTTTGGATATTCTATGACAATTTCAGATTTTTTATGGTTTTTATAAATTTTCTTTTTTTGAGAGAGAGAAAGTAGCTTTCTTCTTGTATTTCTGTTATACATAGGACCAATATATATTTGTTTATGGGAAGTCAAAATTGAATGATGAACATTTGAGACAACGCAACGATAGGATTCTTTATAAAGAATTTTCTAATTATTTATGCAAAAGAAAACAAACTAGCTTTTTTATCAAATTTCGTTCCTGCTGTCAATGGTTTATCTTTTCTTCGAGGGTGTCAAAATTAATCACAACCCTTAAAAAAAAAAAAAAAAAAACTACAAGGTTTGACGCAATCAATTTCCCACTTGTTCATACAAAAGAAAAAAAGTGGTTTTACTATAACGTTTCAAATGATTTATTCGTTTCATTTTTTTTTTTTTTTTTTTCAAAATTTAACGAATAAATAACAAGATTTTCCATACAAAAACAAGGAAAAAAATTGCTTCTGTAATAATTCGTTTCCCTCAAAATGTCGATAAACTTTTTCCACTGCCTTCATAGGTCACAGAGTCACAGGCTCGTATGACGCAGTGGTGAAAAGTCATCTATGTGCCCTTTCGTTCCCTTTCACAAATCCCGTGGCAACCCCGCCAGAGACAAAGCCACGAGACGGAGAGCCACAACAGAACCGAGTCTACCGCTTATTTAAACGCGGGTCTAGGCGAAAATGGCACGGTGGTGGCTGACGAACGTTTCCTAAAAACACTGCGTGCCATCGGGCGATTAACTCTAGTGAAAATTGGCCCCGCCGCGGAAAAAAGAGCGGGCGTCGCAGCCGATGAACTCTGCTCGTTTCTTTCCGCCCGGGGCCATTTAACGATTTCGCGCCCAGACTCTCTGCTCTGGAATACCCGGCCGAC